CGCCGTTCTCCGGGCGCAAGGTGAGGCCCGTGGGGCCTCCCAACTGGCCTCGTCGTTCTTTTTTTTATTCTCTCAGCATTCCTTAAAATACCCAGAGTGTATTATGCGTAAGCTTTTGAGGGTGTCCCTGCGTTTGCAGGGGGGTTGGACTAGATGATCTCTAGAGGTCCCTTCCAACCCTAAGCATTCTATGATTCTATGATTCTAATCTGAAACGGGCTTCAAAAAGCCTTGCTCTGGATCCAGGTGGCAGGCAAACAGCTCCTTTGTGAGTGTGATTCAACGTGTGATCTGGTTCCTCTACCACGCCTGAGCTTGCTGTGTGCTTGTGTTGTAGCCCATGCCCTGACTGGAATCAAGAGTCTTCTTAGTTCCCAGTAATAGATTCATAGATGGTAACTTCATTACTGATTAATTGGCTAATTCCAAGGAATACTTGAAATCTTGTAAGTTCTCCAGTGGAAAAGGGGAAGAAGATACTTTCATAATGCCATGAGCTATTGAAGACTAACACCTGATAATGCTAGGAGACATTTCAGAAGGTTGTTACTGAGGCTGCAGGGTGTTTGGGGGCATCCAGGCTTTTTTGAAAGTAAGCTAATATTGGCAATTAACCTTTCACTTGGGAGTTTTGAGGCAATACCGATCAGAGGGTGCAGGCTTCACAGACACCTCAGTGACACTAACTTGGCTTCCTTGTAGTCATTTAGAGTTTGTTTATGGTAATGCGAGTCAGGTGGTTGCAATGTTCCAGGTGTTTAGCATAACCTAAGTAGCAAGGCTTGGTAAATCAGCAGTTTTTAAAGTGAAAGGTGTTGCTGTGATGATGTAATTTGCGTCTTATCCAGTGTTCAGTGACAGTTGCCTGCTGTCAGTATGCTGGCACTGTTGGATTGAAGACATTTCTATTCTGAGCAATATTTGATGCTTTTGAATACTAACAGTTTGCTTTGATGGCGCTTAAAAGTGTTTCCTTTTTCTTTTTTAGGCTTGCGCTCGACCGCTAATATCCATCTACTCTGAAAAGGGAGAAGCATCAGGCAAAAATGTCACCTTGCCGGCTGTGTTCAAGGCTCCCATTCGCCCTGATGTTGTGAATTTTGTTCACACCAATTTGCGCAAGAACAACAGGCAGCCTTATGCTGTCAGTGAACTTGCAGGTATGGTTTGTGCCTAAAGTTAGAGGGAACAGTTGTGTTACTGGTTGGCTTTAATATAGATGGGATAAAATGGAAAAAAGTTAGAGCTGAAATAAAAGAAGCTGTATTCAGTGGGATTGTGTGTAGAAAGCAAGAAAGCTGTTCTGATTGTGAAATGTTAGTAGAGTGCTGTAAAAGTTTTGGAGGGTTCTGGGCTCTAATCTGAAATGTGTATTATTGACAGTATTGTGGCACCTAAATTCTCAAATGAAACTTACTTTTTTTGCGAGAAGAATCACAAAATGTCTGAAAATGCACGGTGATTTTCTGCCTTATGTGCCAAAGCTGTGTGTTAATGACCACTGCTCTGCTGACTACATGAGGTTTTTATCCTAGCTATTTGTTAAGAATAAACCTATATAATTGTGTATTTATTAGTTACTTCAAAAAAATAGCAGCTGCAGGTATCTGCTGTGAGAGAAACTTGTGCTGGCAACATGTATATTCAGGTTTATTTCTAATAGTAAGTGACTGAAGTATTTAAGTATGCTAGTAACAGCAGTACTAATTCAGGCCTCCAATTTGGAGACTGAGCTTGGGCATCAGTGTGTTAATATTCTTGATTCTGACCTAAATATATACTTAATATGGTAAGAGCTCTTCTAGCTGATGAGGACTTGTGCTGAAATGATGAGATTCCACTTCATTGGTCCGTGTTTCTGAACTGCATGATAACAGTGGAAGTTCTGATCGCTGGCCTGCAATTCTGCGCTTCTGTAACTCGCAAACGTTGCACTGTTGACGCTCTGAATTGAAATCTTGTGTTTCAGGTCATCAGACCAGTGCTGAATCTTGGGGTACTGGGAGAGCTGTTGCTCGTATTCCTAGAGTACGAGGTGGCGGAACTCATCGCTCTGGCCAAGGTGCCTTTGGAAATGTATCCTCTCATAGCTGCTGGTTCAGTACAGTGTAAAGCTGAGGGGTTTTGTTTGTTTTTTTTTTTTGTGTGTGTGTGTTTTTTTTTCAAAAAGAAAAATGATTTTAAGTACATAAATGCACAGTGTAATTTTCTATTTCTTGACGTGACGGCCCCATACAGTAATTTGGACCGCACGGGGTTTGAGATGACTGTAATATGACCAATAACTCCAGAGTTAATTGATTTTTCACTGGAGAAGTGGTGGGTGTTTCCAATCTCAGGATGAATACGGTCTTGCGGTGATGTTGTAATTTGCGTCTTACTCTGTGCTCAGTGACAGTTGCCTGCTGTCAGCATACTGGTACAGGTGATTGACGAGCAGTTAAATGCTGAGCAAGAATTAATAATGCAGACTGGAAAAAAAAGTTTGTAGAAGATTATTCTTAACTGTAGATTCATAGATGTGTCGTGGAGGCCGCATGTTTGCCCCAACGAAGACTTGGCGACGCTGGCACCGTAGAGTGAATACAACTCAAAAACGTTATGCCATCTGCTCTGCTTTGGCAGCATCAGCTCTCCCAGCACTGGTCATGTCTAAAGGTGGGAATTTCAGTGTGCTTGTTACTCTGGAAACTTCTGCGTGTAGTCTGGCGTTACCTGAGTGCTATCAGTAACTGCAGTTATGTGAAATAAAACTAAATACATAAAATATAACTAAGTCCTCATTTAAAGAGTTTAAGGTGCAGTCCTGTTCTTTAGTAGATGTGTATCTTTGTTGTGTATGGCTTGAGGAAAATATTTCGAGGTTATGTAGAGTTGGATGTCAGATGATCCTG